CACACACACTCTCACACACACTCTCTCACACACGTACCATGGGCTGAGCCTCATTAGTGGGATGGGGGCGCAGGTGAAAAACACTGTGAGCAGCAGGAAGCTCTTTCTGCCCCAAACATCAGACAAGGCACCGATCAGAGGAGCGCTCATGAACGACAGAAATCCCTGCAAACACACTGCAGTTACCACACGCAACACACAGCAATACAACGCTGCCTTTTACACAGTAACAAACAGAACAGGGTTAATATTTGGTCTTTTCAGCAAATAATAATCAAGAGCTGGAGCACAAAAGCAGTGTTAAGTCGCTGGGGGATATTTGTAGCAATAGCCAACAATACATTGTATGGGTCACAATTATACATTTCTCTTTTATGCCAAAAATCATTAGGATATTAAGTAAAGATCATGTTCCATGAAGATATTTAGTAAATCTCCTACCGTAAATATATCAAAACTTAATGTTTGATTAGTAATATGCATTGCTAAGAACTTCATTTGAACAACTTTAAAGATGATTTTCTCAATATTTAGATTTTTTTGCACCCTCAGATTCCAGATTTTCAAATATTGTCCTATCCTAACAAACCATACATCAATGCAAAGCTATTTATTCAGCTTTCAGCTTACGACTGGTTTTGTGGTCTGGGTGTCACATATTATAATTACAACTCATCAAATGCATGCAGCTGCACAACAACAGATGCACCGGATTCACCTTGACGCCCTGAACGAGGCCGTTCATGAGGAACGTGTGCTGTGGAAATGTTTCATGCAGGACCTGGAATGAGGAAACAACAGAAAACACAGCGCTAGAGTTTCATATCACTTTCACGGTTTGCATTTGGCCCTGAACGAGCTCCTGAGCACTTTGTTTTGCATTTGCATCTGCAGTGCATTATGGGAAGCTAGGTACATTATCAAACCAGAAGACATTTTTCCTTTCTCTGTACAGAAAAGAAACCGAAAGTGACACCTGTATGATAAAATCTAATGCAATAATCAAGCTCAAATCAGGGTTGTTTCAGTAGACTAAAACTGAAACTAAAAGCATAAAAGATATCTTCATTACTTGTTACTCATTTCAAAGCAGCATTTCTCATTTTCTTGATGTACTAAAACTGAAATAAGAAATAATTAAAATTATACAGACATAAAATTACGAATATAAACAAATATATATATAGAAAATGAAATGTGATTCAAAATAACATGCTTAAAATACAGGTGATAAAATAAAGCAATTTTTTTTAATAGAACCTTAACACATAATAAAATCACATATTTTTACATTTGCATACATTAATTTTAGCTATGTGCTGTCATTTATTATAGTGCAACTTACTTATTTTCAATGCATTATTTAAACCGAGTTGTATGCAAAGTTTTATGTATATTATTTATCAAGGGATATTTAAATATGTTGCATGTTCCTTTTTTTTCCTTTCTGCAGATGAAGTAATGTCTCTGAAGACTCATGTTAAAATCATTCAGTGTTCAGTGTTTAATGCTCACGGTCAGCATCGGCGTGGTCAGGAGACCCCAGGCGAAAAACTCCATGAAGATGACCACCACGGCATGAGCCACCTTCGCCCGGCCGACACTGTGCTGCTGCGACACAACAACCACACTCAATACACCTGACAACATTATATATATATATATACACTGCTGTGCAGAAGTGTGGGATCAGTGAGACTCGTAATGTTTTTAAAGAAGTCTCTTCTGCTCATCAAGGCTGCATTTATTGGATCAAAAATACTGAAAAAAATGCAAAATGTTATTAGAATATAAAACAATGGTTTCTATTTTAATATCCTTTAAAATATAATATATTTCTGTGATGCAGCGCTGAATTTCCATCATCATTACTCCAGAATAAAGCGTCACATGATCTTCAGAAATCATTCTAATATGCTGATTTATTATCAGAGTTATCAATGTTGCTACAGTTGTGTTTTTTGGAAACTGATACTTTTTTCAGGATTCTTTGATGAATAAAAAGTTTTTAAAAAACAGCATTTATTCGAAATATAAATCTTTGCTGTCACTTCTTATCAATTTAACACATGCTCGCTGAATAAAAGTTTTAATTTCTTTCAAAAAAAGAAAGAATAAAAATGCACCGACCCCAAACTGTTGAACAGTAGTGTATATATATATATAGCAGCAAAATATAATGTACACAACATCAGCTGGACACATGACAGGTCATGCATAGACGCCTTATAGACGAAAGGTTAAAAGGTTAAATACACAAACCCTAAAAATGATTGACTTTAATCAGCCATTATAGATGCATATGAACCATGTGCAGATTCTGATCAATAGCACAGTGCACCGCTGAGTGTGCCGTCACTCACTCTGATGCGCTTGAGCAGCATGTTGTTCTCCGTCTCTCACATTCTGCTCGAGAGATCAATCATCCGGGTCGCGTTTAATTAATCAAGCCGCTTTTCATTTAATTCGAGCGGCTCTCGCTGACTCTCTCCTCTTCCACTTTCGAAAACGAACATTCCGAAACACCGACTTCCGGCTTCCGTCGGGCGAGGAGTCGAGTTCAAAATAAAAGTCTTTTGTTGACAAATAACATGCCAGTGTTCAGCCCTCGTTCACAGCGTAGCTGGAGATGGAAAGTGAGATAAAATGCATAACTCGAAAAAAAAAATCGGGAAAGTTACTTTTAAAAGTAATGCATTACAATATTGGGTTACTCCGTAAAAAAAGTAACTAATTACGGTACTTAGTTACTTTTTATGGACAGTAGTGCGTTACGTTACTTTTACGTTACTTTTTAAATCTGGACAGGGCTTGCTTGTTTGTTTTTAAAATAAAAAAGTTATATTTCTGGCAAATATAAAAGCCTTTTCAGACCAGAAGTGAAATGAATGCGCCTCAGGCTGAAGGG